TATTAATTTTAAAATTATTTTTAAAATAATATTATATATATATTTCCGGCGGACCAAATCCGCCGGTATTTTAAAAAAAAATTATTTTTAAAATATTAATTCTTTAAAGAAAATATTTCATATATATTATTCCGGCGGATTTATCCGCCGGTATTTTTTTTAAAAAATTAATTCTTTTTTTTTTTAAATATTATTTTCTTTTCCAAAAATATTTCCGGCGAGACAAGTTTCCGGCGGATTTCCGGCGGAATTTTCCGCCGGAATTTTTTCAAAAATTTTTTTTAATTATTTTTTAAGTTAATCAAGATTTTTTAAAAAACGGGCGGAAATTTTCCRGCGGCCGTAATCCGCCGGAAACGTGGAAAATCCGCCGGAAAAACCGCCAGAAAAAAAATCACCGGCGCCCCTTTTTCCGGCGGCCAAATCCGCCGGAAATCCGCCGGAATTTCCTTTTTTCGGCAGATTTCCGGCGGATTTGGCCGCCGGAAAAAGGGGGTTTTTTGGTAGTGTAAATAATCCAGTAAGCACTTACCCGGTAAGATTTGGTAAACGACTCCTAAGTATTACAACTTGACAATTTAAAATAAGTCCCTTTGGTTGAAGAGATCTATATGGAATATGTAGTAAATGAACGATTGTTGTTTGTTTGAAGTCTTGAAAGAACGGTCCACGTGGTAATTGAAGTAGATGTCGATTGAAAAATAATTGTTTAATAAATGTTTTTAATAGAAGATTGATTTTTTTTTTTGAAGTTTTTAAATAAATTATATCAAATCTAACACAATGATATAAACTAAATAACGGGTATAGATGAACAAATATAAGGGTATAATTGGAAAAAAAAATATTAGCTTAATCTAGAATGTATATTAGCTATGGTCATGTGGTTAAGACATCGGCTTAATCGATAAGTCGTAAAGAAGATAAACACAAATGGCTAATGATAAGGGATTCTTTATCCAAACATTTACCCGATAACCTTTTATCTGTAAGAGTTAACACTCTCACATGATTAACGTTTACCAGATAAATTGTTGCATACTATGTTTTCATGTACTAGAATCTTACGTGTTAAATTTACCGGATGTTAAATTTCTAAATAGAAGGATGTTAAGTAATATTTTAAAACTAACGAGACTAAATCAAAAAAATGTAATAAAACTTATCTAAATTTGTACTTTAGAGATCATCCATCAGGAATTGTTCATCCTCTCATCTCCTTCGTATTTTTCGAACATATTATTTGTTATAGTTTACTGATTAAGGAGCCGTTTACTAAACACTTACTTGGTAAATGCTTACCGGATAAATTTTCTCATCGGATGAACATGAGAAGGGCCAAGAATCTTACCGGTAAAAGCGATGAGAAGGATGAATAGCCTTACCTGTAAGTGAGGATGGCGACTCTTACCCATGTAAGCGCTTATCCAGTAAATTGTTGCATTCAATATGTTTTGATATTACTAAAATCTTGCGCATCAAAATAAATCATAATGTTGACTCCTATCGATAAGCGCTTACCGAGTAAGCAATTGGGTAAACAGCCCCTAAATTGTTTTAATTATTGATTTTCCTTATTTACTTTAAATTCTAGATTAACTCTTAAGGAAACAAAATTGGAAACTTGGGGAAAAAAGATAAAGGACAATCAAGATGATAGAACTTGGCAAAATTCTAAAAATTAGAATGTTTTACGAAATCAACTAAAAATACCAAAAAAGTCGTTTGTAATGATGGAATTCGACTAAAACTACATCGAGCGTAATACATAGTTTTGCATCAAAGAAAACATGTATTTTATTCCCTAAATCGACACAATTAAATTTTAGCGGGTCAAGCCGACACGTCAACTGTGATTTTACGACTCTTTGATCAATCTTAAAAGTGCAATGTTCAGAAAATTTTCTAAATGTCCAAAAACTCACCACTTATCACCATTCTTATGATCACTTAATTAATGTCCAAAATCAGGAATATCAATTATAAATACTTCCCATCCACCTCAAACAATTAAAATCATGGTTAACCACTTAGATGTGTAGATAAAACAGACAATATCTGGTACGGTTGGTCTCCAACGTTACAAGTATAATATGAATCTTGATTCTAATTTCTAAATCGGGTATTATTAGATTCTTTAATGGTGAACCAAACCAACACAATATCTTATTAAAAGGTTACTTTATCAAAAAAATTAAAAAGAAATTGGGATCATCGAATAAATGGATTTCGTGGTTGTAAATCTCATTTATTTTTTTAGCTCAATTCCTATGTTTTATTGTCAACCACGTTTTGACAAAAGGAGTTAATGTGAGAAGTATAAAAAAGATCTGTATCATTGATCATCGTTAATCTTAAACTCATTTATTAATCGCGTTTGATACGGAGATTGATCAAGTGCATATCATCCTAATGTGCATCCAAAAGTGAAGATACCTTCTTACACTTCTCACGTTTCTCACTGGAACCCAACCCATTGACTCAATTATTAATCTCGTTTTGAATGTGCCTTGTGATGTTATTTTGTAGAACTTATTATGGGTTGTTTGCATGACAAGGAATGGATTCCTCTGGTTTAACATGGAATGAAAATTTGAATGAACCCATTATATTTGTATAAGACCAAACGGTTTTTTTATATTGATTTTCATTAGTAATCGTTTCATGCTTAATACCTCTAACCAAACAACCCCTTAGTGCATTATTGACTTGTACTACACAAGTTCACCATAGCTCTCAACCCAACTACTATCCCATTGTTGTCGCCCTAGCTACATCATGGCCAAACAAGGCCCGAGCCTGGCGAAAGAACTAGGACCGGTCCCGAATCAAGACCGGTTGGGGACCGGTTAAGGTCCAATTGTTAAGCCTAGTTACATTTTTTTCTTGAAACTGGTTAAGAACCGGACTAATAGGACTAGTTTATAAGGCTTAATTTTTATAACAATTTTAAAGACTAAAGCTTTGTTTGTTTGTTCAAAAATAACTCTTATTAGCCTCTTATGTCTGATTAGTTAAGAGGTAGGGTCATTCAGAATGTTTGGTTTTTCCAATTTTTTAGAAGCACTTATGTGTTGTTCACCTCTTATCTGATAAGAGGTAAACCAACCTCTTATTTGTCTCTTATTGTTCTCCAAACTCTTAGCAACGACTTTTCTTAATCGATTAAACTTAATCGATCATCTCTCTCGATCTATCCTTATCAAATCGATCCTCGCCTGTCTCAATTGATGTATTTTAATAGAATTTAAATGTGTTAAATACCGTTAATGACATATTTTCGTTTAAATGAATGCTAATTATAAAACTTACATGTAAATTTTGTAATGAAAATGAATAAATATGTGAAACTGTATAAATTTAACACTATGGTTTTTTATAATGGATAAAATAGACAATTTAAACAAATTCAGACATTTATCAGTTTATAAAAACAAACAGTCTTATTGATTCAGATTTCAAACTTCAACACCATCTCTTATTAATCAAAAGTGAAATAATACTTCAAAGTTCAGACTTCAGCACCTCTTAAAAACAAACCTCACATAATATAACTAAATCAATTTTTTCTATCCAACAACCACCGGCTTTCTTGATTTCTAAATATGAATTGTAAAAAAAATGTTTTTGAAATTGTAAAAATAAGTTATAGTAATAATTTGTAGAAAAAGAATTAAAAAATATTTTTTTACAAAAAAATGGGTTGGTTAAGGGACTGATGTGACCGGTTATACTGTTTTGTTGAAGGACTAGGACCAATACCAAAAGGACCGGTAACAAAAAGATTTTTGCTTAAAACCAGTTGAGTTCCGATTTTGGCCTATCTCTGCCTGCATCATCGTCGTCATCAGTAAGCCTCACTCTACTCACCGTTTTAAATGTAAGTTATCTTTTAAGTTTTGACCATTAAATAAATGTAACCGAAGGCATTTATATTCATTTTAGACAATTTTGGTACGAGAAATGATTCATGATTTTGGTATTGTAATAAAATATATAAATATATACACAAGATAAGAAGAAAAACATGTCTCAATATTTTGGCACCAACGTAGAAATAACTACTAGTCAATTGATTAAACTCTATATATCTAGTCGTGAATATAAAATATTGATATGTGATGAGGCTGACATCAAAACCACAAGATATTAAATCTCGGATACACAATAACCTCACTCCTAAGATAAATGATTGAGTTGACTGGATTTACCGGGATGCCGTACACAATGACATATGCCAACACCGTTTAAAAGACGGGCTTTTTCAAAGAAGGATTTGTATATTATATTTCAAGTTATTTACACAAACGGTTTTAAAAGACGAAAAATAATGAAAGATAAAGCAATAAACAAATACTATTTTGATACGGGATCAGTCTCATATAAAAAAACGTAAGATATTAAATCTCGAGTACACAATAACCTGGTCCAAGAACCTCATCCCTAGATGAATTATCGAGTTGAATGGATTTACTGGAGCTGCCGTATGCAATGGCATCTGCCATGATGGTTTTAAAAAACGAGCTTCTTGAAAGATATACATACATATATATGTATGTATGTATATATAATACTGTAATCTACATGACGGATTTTAAAAGGTAAAAAAAATAATGTAAGAGAAAGCAATAAACGAAAATTTCACACATCACATAATTCGAAAGTACAAAACATCAACAAGGAAAAAAGGGAAGAAATATCTGTTTGAACTCTTCATGCATATGTACATATGGACATGTAGGATTGTTTCAAAACACTATAAAACAAGTCTCTTATTTATTCTATAAAAATGACTTATAAGAATCTTAGAGATTCATCTTGTAAAGTAATTCTTCGGAGAGAAAATTCGTCGAGGGGAGAACATGCCCATGTACCTAGGGGAAGCAAGTCCATCAACCGTTCGATAGCCAGGCATCAAGTATCCTTCTCTCTCCACTTGTGTCATGCGAGACCCATTAAACGTTCCATATTTCCTTAGTTTCCCGATCCACGACCTCTTCTTTGGAGAGTTTTGATGGGCCCCGTTCATCTTCTCGCTGAGATACTCTTTAATCACATGTAACCCTAGCTCCACCACCTCTGGTGGCGGTGACACCAAAGGGTTCCCTTCCACATTAAGCTTTCGAAGTCTTTTCAAACAACCCATGGAGTGAGGTAAAGCGCTGATCTTGTTGTAACTAACATCCAATTCGACCAGTGAGATAAGGACACCTAAGGAGTAGGGCAAAGCAGCGAGGTATTGGAAGTTTTGGCTGATATTGAGAATTTCCAGGTTGATTAGGTTTTCAAGATCTTCAGGGAGGGAGTGGAGGTGGTTGAGACGGGCGTCAAGGTGGCGGAGATTGGTTAAGTGGGAGGTTGATGACGGGAGGATGGTCAACTTGTTTGAGTTAACCGCAAGCTTCTTTAGGTTGATGAGTTCAAATCCAATAGTGTCTGGTAATCTCGTCAACTGATTGAAATTCGCATTTAAATCTTCTAATGCTCTGTAATTTTTTTTAAATTAATAATTAGCATATAAATGACTCGTACAAACAATTCATACTGTAAAAACTAAAAAAATGAGAGTCCGTAACCTGCAATTTTCGATGGTTTTGGGGAGGGACTGAAGATGGTTACCAGAAATGTTAAGGGTCTTGAGTTTTGACAAACAACCGATTGAATTTGGGAGTGTTTTGAGTTGATTTGAATGTACATCCAACACCCCTACATTTAATAGTCTTGCTGTTAATGACTCTGGAATTACCTGTAAAATTACACCATCCAATATTTTACATTTAATAGTTTTATATATATTCAATAAATAAATAATTTACAAAAAAGAAACATATATATATATATATAGAGAGAGAGAGAGAGAGAGGTGAGTTATTATGCAACCATTTACATTTGTACAACTAATACAACTCAATCTCAACCGTACATTTAATTTGATGAATATGTGATTTCATAAATGTTTTGATTGTTTCCTAATATAAAGTATTGATCATAATCAATGAATTATAGTCATCTTCTATAAATATTCAAATCATAATAAATGAACTCTCATTATTTCTATAAATATCTCAATTGATTGGGTTGCATTGGTTATACAAATGGACATGGTTGTATTTAAAATATATCCTATATATATATATATATATATATATATATATATAGAGAGAGAGAGAGAGAGAGAAAGATGAGTTATTGTGCAACTATGTACATTTGTACAACCAATACAACTCAATTTCAACGATCCATTTAATTTGATGAATATGTGATTTCATAAAAGTGTTGATTATTTCCTAATATAAAGTATTGATTATAATCAGTGAACTCTAATCATCTTCCATTGATATTCAAATCATAATAAATGAACTCTCGTTATTTCCATAAATATCTCAATTGATTGTGTTGTGTTCGTTGAACAAATGAAAATGATTGCATTTAAAATATACCATATATAATATATATATATATATATATACATATATATATAGACTTGGGATCATGTGAGACCAGCCTGTTTTCGTGAGACCAACATTTTACACTTGAAACTTCACAGCAAAATGCTGTGAAGGTGACTTTTTAAAACCTTCACAGTGTTTTTGCT